GCGAGTTTGTAACGAGTTTGTGAGTACGTAGTTGTGTTTTTGTGAGTAGTTTTGTAGTAGTTTGAGTTTTTGTTGAGTGTTGTGACTTGTGAGTAGTTGTGAGTATAGACTATAGTGAGTGTTTCTGACGAGTTTGTGAGTAGATTTAGTGAGCGTTTAATTGGAGGTTTAATACAGGTTTAGGTACCGGGTTACTGTAAATCTGTGAGGATACTTCACTGTGTGAGTCTGTGCGCATAATTTTCTCGCGATCTGCGCGTGGCGCGTTGACGTCGGCACCGCACCGTAAGCAGGCTGTGGCACGTCACCAGAAGTGCGTCATTTTTAACATTATTTTGCTGTTTGTAGTTGTTTGTATTTATATCCGCGCGGTGACGAATTAAGTGCAGCTGTTTTGACTGTTCGTCCGTTTTTCCGTGCAGTTCCGTGCAGTTCCGTGCAGTTCCGTTCCGTGCAGGCAGTTTTTCCGTGCCCCGCTTGCCATTGCCTTTGGTTTTTTAACTCGTGGCTTTCCATGCCCACCTCGAATCGACCGGATCGTAATCTGATATCTTTTATCCCAGCTGGTGGGGTGGTAGCGATCGAGGCTTGGACGTATTAAATGAAGACAGCGGTGTAATAGCGGTGTAATAGCGGTGTAATAGCGGTGTAATAGAATGAAGACAGCGGTGTAATAGCGGTGTAATAGCGGTGTAATAGCGGTGTAATAGAATGAAGACAGCGGTGTAATAGCGGTGTAATAGAATGAAGACAGCGGTGTAATAATGGTGTAATAGCGGTGTAATAGCGGTGTAATAGAATGAAGACAGCGGTGTAATAGCGGTGTAATAGAATGAAGACAGCGATGTAATAGCGGTGTAATAGAATGAAGACAGCGATGTAATAGCGGTCTAGGAAGCGGCATAAAATAAGTACAGCGGTTCAGGCCAAGACTTCCGGTGGTTAACGGAAAGTCACACGGTGGTTGATATATGTTCGGATATCATAGATTTAGAATAGCTTCTCTATACCTAATATAAAAATAACCAATTTGCGGGCACGTGATGCCAATGCCAGCGCTTCGTTCCGCTTGATGGCTCATTGTGAGTGGTACGTACTACGTCCCCAAGGCGCCGTGAAAAGATCCGAATCGTTGACCAAACACAAAGGAATGCAATTGGAGAGACCTCCAAGAAATGCGTTTGATAAGCAATATATTTTATTCAGACGTTATGGACATCTACATGTTACATATAAAAGTAAAGTAAAAATATTAATCATTTCATGAAATCAATAATATCGATAAAAATATTGATGGATATATCGATAAACTCTCCAGTCACTTCATACTAATTATATGTATATATATATATATATATATATATATATATCTTCTTACTTACTTACTACTCTACGTAGTAGTATATAGTTTAGTATATATATATATATATATATATATATATATATATATATATATATAAAGTTCAGTTTTCCAAATGCAAGTTAAATACACAGAATATGTTGAAATGAAAACAACTGGAGACATAATTATGCACTATCGTTTTTTCGGAAGTTCTCTCCAGTTGTTGTCATTTCAATATTTTCTGTGTATATTACTATATATATATATTAAAATTATATGATATTAATATTATATTATATATAATTAAGAGCACATAAAAGAGCATATGTTCTGATATTTGTCGGCGTGCACTACACTGGGTATAACGATTGCCGCCTCCAGTGAGTGAACCCAAATAACAAACAAACAGGTTTGCAAACAAATAATAACAACTTAGGTGCTACAAACATTGTCTTCTTATAGCGAAGATTGGGCGCATGTAGGGGTGAAGCCATGATTTAAAAATTTTTCCACCACACAAACGAGTAGGCTGTTCCAGAATGTAATCATCCGAGGAAGGGGGCAGAAAATTTGAATGCGTTGCTGTTGCAGTGCAGATACCGAAATTTCCAATTTTGAACTGCAGTTCAGATGTCGGCATAGGACGTCTAGCAATCAATTGTGCAAAGTATCAAACGCGTATGTTGCACCTAAAGTGACTGTCCAGATGAATTCCAAAATATTAGTTTGCCATTATTAACCCCTGATAATGTTGCAATGCAGAATCGTCAATGTGATGGTTGTACTTACACAGTACACTTATTACACGTACAACAGACAATCATCGGGGAACACTCGGGTAAACAAAGCAATATTGCGTCGGTAAATCGTTACCAAAGGAAATAAAGTGTACGTATTACCGTTTATTGCGGAACTCCTGATAACAGAAGTCTAGTCGGACAAATTTAATAAGCCTCTATCTACTACTACATGCTGGGTACGCTTAGTAAGGAAGGCTTTGACCCAGCGTAGCTTTCACCGGATACCGTAATAATCAGACACATGAAGAAAGCACTGAGGCGATGAACGTTGTATACGTACTCTTAATTACATATGATTACGTACTCTTGAAATTATGAATAGGAAACCAATAGATTCCAAGCAGGTTGCTTAGACTTAATGTAACTGATTACAATTTAACTAATGACCGTTTAGACTTAATGTAACTGATTACAATTGTAATTAACCCATCACTCACATCAGGCATTCGTTGCTAATATTTGCAAACGTAATCAATGTGCACATAGTTTTGGGACACTATGCCAGCGTAGCGTGCTTAGGCCAAAACAAAATATATGCAGGCCCGTAGCCAGGGGGGGTTCGGGGGGTTCGAACGAACCCCCCCCCGAGCCCCCTCCCCAAGCAAAAAATAATTTTTTTGGAAAATTTGCAAGAATTTCACCTCAGGTCGCTCCATTTTAGTGTAATAATTGCAAAATCTCCATCGTGCGGGAGGGTGAACAGTGAACACCCCCCTCCCACACCCTCCCCCGCTCGGTCGCTTGGCTCCCTCGCCTGGTCGCTTCGCGCCCGAGCAGGGGCGTGTACAGGGGGGGTCCAGGGAGTCCGGACCCCTCCTTGCTCGCGCAGAAAACGCATCTGAGGGGGTCTAATTTTAAAAAATTTCTGGGGAGGGCCCCCTTCGCGTGCTCGCAACTTTGGGCTACGGTTACACCCACCCCTGGTACAAATCATGTACACGCCCCTGCCGAGCAAATTGCCAACATTGAAAAACGAACCCCCCCCCAATATAAAGCTGGCTACGGGCCTGTATATGTGTGGTTACCGTTACATGCCGAAAAAAATAGGGTAGGTAGGTATGAAAAACATTTTATTTTGTTGAAATATTTTATTTACGAACCATGTCCGAAGGATGTGCGTTTTGAAGCAGAAACTGTCCAATTCATATTTATTTTATATTTATTTTATATTTTTATTTTTTTATTTTTTGACTTTAAAGAAAATTGACAATAAAATGTTTAGGGTCGCTGGAAATAAATAGGGTCGGCCTGGAAACCGTAACCACACCTATATTTTGTTTTGGCCTTATCATAACGCCTCCGCTTGTTACTCTTGCCACTAAACAAACACATTAACCACATATCATGGGACAAAGTTTCACTACTCGATAATGTGCATATATATATATATATATATATATATGGGGACCAATACCCACTGATACGCAGCGCATATAGCTACGGATGACACGCTAGGAGTGGGCAATCTGCCTCGAATAAAATATACCTAGAGAGACAGCATACAAACAACCACTAGTGTGTGGCTCACTTCTATTACTATAAAATTACATAATATCACAAGCACATAAACCATATGTATAGTATAAACTATAGCGTGTGTAGATCGCATTAATGACACTCAAGCTTGCATGTCAAAGGTTAACTAACTGCAACAAAATTAATATGCTATGCCTATGTACTACATTGTGACGTAGCTTTTGCAACTTATACATAATACAACTTTCAAGATACCTTTAAAAAATATCCCATTCTTAAAGTATCAATGAAATTTCTTAACTAAGAGTTAACGAACTCTCTGTTGTCTAGGCATTAAAAGAATATAGGTGGCAGCACCACTCTGCGGGCAACATTGGTTTGTTTAATGGAACGTGTCGTGCTCTGCGACAATTGCAATGCGATGTTTACACAGTCACATGACACCATTAAATGGTTTATATGTTTTTGGTAACATATACTAAAGCATTAATTAGCAATATTATCGTGAATAGACTATGGCGCCAACAAATTATTACATGCATAAGACCTTAGAATAGGGCAGAGTAGGGAAGTAACGGAGGGAGAAGTACTGGGGGGGGGGAGAAGGTGGAGTAAATAGAGGAGAAGAACGTGGCAGAGGAAGAGCATGGAAGAAGACATAAGAGGGGAGGTTGGGGGGTTAGAAGAAGGGCAGACAGTACAAGAAGTGAGGAGTGGGAATGTAGAAAAGAAGCAGAATACGCAACAATGATCGATCCGTGATTTCTTGTGACATTCAGCAAGCAAAACCAGCTAGGATGAAATCAAAGCGAAACACATTGATTTGTGTCAGTCTTACCTTCACATGCTCAAACGAATATATAAGTTGTGAAGAAGAAATATATTAATGAACACTAGGTCACTTACATAAACAGATACTTTTAACACATGAGCGTAAAGTACATTTGACATACAATTTAATGAAATTGTTAGAATGGTAGTTCCCCATTCCCAAATGGGTGTTTGATCTACTTCTATCTCCCTTTAAAAGCCATAATAAAAATACTGTTTGTTTGCCCTCACCCGACCGACCAGCCAAAAAGGGGCCGACTCAAAAAAATTTATTGATCTTAAAATTATATTTTGAGATCAAAAAATTATCTTCACACAAGCACACCCGAGCATGTAGACACCATGCTGAATTTGTAAAAAGACCCCCCTCAAAAAAGCCTACCTACCTACCCAAACTTTTCAGTCTTGGTCGGGTGAGGGCAAACAAAGATTTTTTTAATTGTGGTCTTATTCTTAACATTCATAATCACAGTGGTGGCTTTTTGGTCATGACTTTACATTTGAATCAAGAGTAGATAATACAAATTTTTATTATCTCCTCTTGATTTGAATGGAAAGTAAGAATTAGAATAGGAAGCTCAAACTGTTAGAATATATTCTTGCTGGACCTACAGTTGCTAATGGAATTCTTAAAGCCACTCTAAGTACCAGCACAGATGCACGTCTGCCTTCATCTGCTTGACTCACCAGGTCTGGGATTCCTAGCTTGCTTGGCCACCACTACTGGATGTTGTTGTAGTATGGGTAGCAGGGTGTGTACTTGAGCTCACCCATCGTGTACTCACTATCATCTTCATCTCTCACATCTACCGTGGTATCCACACACTCCTCGTACGACGGTGGTGCTACACATCAACAGCAATACGTACACCGCATCACAGTATGCAGACGAAAAGCGTAATTTTTTGAGACACTAATTACATCACCGCTATGCCAAATTAAATACATTGTAAAAGTACCTATGTCACTGATAAATAAAAAGGTAGTCACACTCTTTACGAGAAGCATACAATAATATTGATGTGCATAAACTAGGGAAAATACTCTAATCTTTATACAGAAACTGGCTTACGTAGGTCTGGGTAGCTGTCAAAAGCGAGTGGCATCATCGGTGCTGACGGCACAACATGGGCACTACTGCCTCCTACTGCATCAGTTTTAGATGGTCCTATCCCTGTGTAGGGCATAATGCCACCTGATGAATAGTTTGCTCCGGGCTGGATGGTGTTGGAGAAGGTAGTCTGACCCTGGGCCTGCAATCCTTGGAACACACTACGCAGCGGTATGGATCCAATAATAATGGGAATTCTCACATTCAAGTCGAATGCTGCTCCCTTAGGGCTGATCTCAAACTAGACAGAGCAACGTAATCCACTCACTGCCATGAACACCGGGGGTGTATTCGAGATAGGTGATACAGTGTAGCAGAGAAAAATATATACATACGCATGCACACACGCACACATACACACACAACACAATTATATATAAAGGAAGTCAGTCAGAAAACATGATTTAGGTTACCGATTTTAGCATTACAAATGTAACTTTCTGAAATGCTTGTACGTAAGGCAGAATATTACTATAGTAATTTAAACACATCAACATAAGCACAAGTCAACGGCAAGTGACATGAAGCAGCAATAACTCTATAATGAAACTATAACAACAAGTGCCGCAGAGCGACAGCGCTCAACTGACGTGTACTGTAGCCAGGTATTCTTCTGATAAACTCACTGGCAACCGAATCAAGTGCGCCCTCCTGCCACCGCGTTCGCGCTCAGAGCATATATCTAGGATACTACTAATACAGATCTAAAATCTATGATAGGCTTTGCTATAGTAGTCAGTGAAAAAATTAATTTTTT